TTTTTGGCTATTACCAACAGTGCTGCCGTGCACGCTTGGGTACAAGTTTCTGGGGGGACATGTGTTTCCAGCTCTCTTGGTCACGTGCCCAGGAGTGGGGCTGCTGGGCCACAAGCTAACTCTGCCCGACCTGAGGCACCACCAGATTGTTCTCCCAAAGCAGCTGTGCCATTTTCCACCCCCACCGGCAGGGCATGATGGATCATTTTCATTAGCTGAAATAACACCTCTGGTCCCGCAGCCCAGTCCAGGTAGCACCCCATTTCTCATGCCTCTGCACCCCTTTACAGCACAACTAAAAATAAATGGCCTCTATTACTCATTTCCAGTTTCTCACCTCCAATTTCTCCTTGGACTCCTTACTAGGAGACTCTGTCCCTGGCGCTCCACTGAAATGACTCTTGCCAGGACCACCAGTGACCCCGCTGTGGCTACGTGTGCTGGCTATTTCCCGGTCCCCAATACCTGGTCTCTCTGCAACTGTGGGCTGGCCATTCCCTCCTTCCTAAAGCACTTTGTCCTCTTTGTCTCTGGATGGACACCTCCTTCCTCCCTCTCCTCCCTCACGGGCTCTCTGCCCCAGCCTTTAAACCCTGGGACCCCAGTGCTCAGTGTCCAGACCTCCTCTCTGTCTGCTTTCACTCTCAGAGAGACTATAACCAGTCCACAACTTTAAATCCTTGGACTCCCAAATTTACACGTCCACCCAACCTAGACACTCACCCATCCACCTAACCACCCACTCAGCATCTCCACCCACTGAACCTGCCACTTCCAAAACAGTACTCTCGGTGCTCACCACAAAACCGGCTCCTCCCACCGTCCTCCCCCATCTCATCAATGTCAACTCCACCCTCCTCGTTGATTGGGCAAAAGGCTGTGGAGTCATCCTGGAGCTCCCCCCAACCCCAGCCCACAGCTCACATCCAATCCAACAGCAACCCTGCTTGACTTTAATTCCTCCATATCCCCACTGCCATCCCTGGGTTCCATTCACTGGCACCTCAAACCCAGAATGAATTCTGGCCCCTGGAAGAATTCACCTGGAGGCGGCCTTCCAGCAGGTTTCCCTGCTCCGCCCTGGACCACTCAGATTCTCTATGGCAACCAGAGCCATAGAGATGACTTCCAAGATGAAGTCAGAGCCAGTCACTCCTCTGCTCAGATGGCTCCAGCGGCTCCGGGAATTAACTCCAAAGGCCTTGCCTGGCCCACTGACCCTCGGGATCCACTGTCCACTGCCCCGTCTGCATGTCCGACCGCCCTCCCCTCCACTCCAGCACACACCAGCCATGTGCAATCTCAAGGCCTTTCATTTGCCCTCCCTGTTTGCAGTGGAATGCACCGCCTCTGCACAGCCACACAGCCTGCTACCTCGCCTCCTTCGGGCCTCCCGCAAACATCGCCTTCTCAGTGAGGCCGCTCTGCACACGCTGTCTAAAGCAACCCCTTGCCCCAGGCCTTCTCGCCCTGCTGTATTTTCCTCCTCACCCACACCACCCAGCATCCCCTTTGTCTCACATTGTCTGTCTCCCACCAGTAACACCCTGGCTGCACAGCAGCCAGGAAGGTCGCCTGCTTTGCTCACGACCGGGTCCCAGGACCCAGGCCAGCGCCCAGAACATCCCAGGCACTTGGTGAACCTCTGCTGCATGAGGCAGTAAATGAACAACAGTCATCTGGGCTGTTTTCAGTCTTTTGCCACTAAAACAAGATGCTGTAATGACCAAACTGGGCACAGGTCATTTTGCTTGTGGGTAAGTCCCTCAGCAAGACAGATACCTAGAAGGGGGGTCGCTGAGCCCCAGGGCATGAACACTGATAATTGTGATGACCATTCCCTCGGATTTTTTAGTTAAAAAACATAACACCACCCACTGCGTTATGTTGAGCAAACCACACGATTAATGGTGTGGTGCCCCAACCTGACTTGCTTTTTAACTGGACGGAAAAAAGTAATCAGGACAGAAGTGGCTTGAGGAATTTGAGAAGCCCATTAGCCATGAACATGAGTCCAGGTCCCATCCAAAATGCTACTGGCCATGGTGGTATCCTGACCGCGTGGCATCTGTCATGCTCAGGAACTGCCTGGAGTCGCGGGAGGGAAGTCTGGGTTCTCCGGCTCGGACTGCTCTGCTGTTGGAAGACTTTATGGGAGGAAGTGGAGACTTTGCGTCCAGGGCATTCAGCACATCCGCAGAGCGCCTGTGCTTCCCTCCGGGCGCTGAGACACCCTGGCCGAAAACCTTCCTGGCCTCTGCCATGGCTGCCCAATGGCACGGCCCCTGTCATTTCCCCTGTGGCTGGTGGGAGTGGAACAGGGCACATCCCAGGGGGCCGTGTGCACACCCTACCCTGACACTCTGTGGCGCCATTCCAGGGTGAGAACTCTCAACAGCTCCAGGGGCCCTCCCATCTCCCTGTCCTGTCCTGGACCAGGCACGGCTCCACCACACCTGGGCTGTCAGATGGTTGCTCCTGGGAACAGGCCCTGTGCAGATGTCTGGGACGGATTCGTCCACAGGAACCTCCCCCAGCCATCGCTGCTGGCCTCACCTACCTCGAACAGTGACGCAGGCTCTGGTCCTTGATGGAAGACGTCCCCTGAGACCCTGAGGCCCCCACATCCCTCCAGGGTCAAGGGCAGGAGCTGCCCCACAGAACTGCACAATGCCCACAGATTCCACCCAGACGGAAAGTCACAAGAGCTTAGTGGGCCAGAGGCCGGTGACCTGGCTCCCTCAGGGCCTTCTGGACTTAGTTCCTTATCCTTCACCCGGGAAAGACTCTGGCCTCTGCAGATGCGCAAGTGCTATTACATGGTTTCCCCCAACACCCAGGAGAGGGTTTTGGAAAGGAGCGCCCCCTGCTGTTCAAAGGGCACACCGACCATTTGTGCCCATCTGATCGGCAGTAACTGAAGTCTAACAGACTGGGGGAGGGTGAACGGAGGCCACCAGTCTGCGGAGCAATGTGGCCAACACCTCCCGAAGCTGGAGATACGCCTACCCTTTGGGATAGCAATTCCACTCCTAAATACATGTGCCCTAGAGAGCGCTGTGCACATGAAGACCTGTGTAATCATGGTTGTCGTAGCATTACTAGCAATGGCGAGCACTGGAACAGACATAGAAATGAAAAAATCAACTTGAGTTTGGTGCTACAGGGGAATACTATGCAGCAGCAAAGATGGATGCACTGGGCTACGTATATCTTCATAGCTAAATCTCAAAAAAGAGTGTTGGACAGCCCTGGCTGGTGTGGCTCAGTGGCTTGAGTGCCAGCCTGTGAACCAAAAGGTCAATGGTTTAATCCCCAGTCAGGGCACATGCCTGGGTTGCAGGCTGAGTCCCCAGTAGGGGGTGTACGAGAGGCAACTGATTCGAGTATATCTTGCATGTCAATGTTTCTCTCCCCCTCTTTCTCCTTCCCTTCCCCCCTCTCTTAAAGAAATCTCTATATAAAAAAGAAAAAGATGTTTGCAAGAGTGTCTGATTCAACATGTGTGCTGGGACTGGCGGCCAATGCCACGGATTTGGTTCCCTTGTTCCTGGAATTAAACACCAGGCCGTCCTGGCACCGCCAGGGGGCCCCTCTGGGGGCCCGTGTGCATCACCGAATTTACGACCATCTCCAGAGCATATCATTTCCTTGTAAAGTTCAGCAGAGTGTAACTGAGAGACTCAAGTGTGCGCATCAGACTGACTCTAGAAATAGAGTTGAAGTAATTCATAAAACAGTTCGCTTTCTTCTCATGGCCAATACCCCCTAAAGAAACCAGGGTTGCAGTTTGTTCCCTCGCCAGACACCTCCGGTTCACAGCAACCCTGGGCCAGCCACGTGGCCCGGGAGTCGCACTCACGCCTCTGGAGATTCACCGAGGGCCTTATAAAGTGGACCTCCATGGTGGTTCCCATAGAAACCTCAGAAGTGACTTCCCAGCATGCTGAGGGCTGGTTTCTGGCGCCTGGTGTATAGGGAGGAGCGAGTGTATCCTGCCCATCACCACCCACCAGAGGGAGCGGGGAGAGGATGGGGACTCCTCGCCCTGTGTCATCAGGATGCGCTTTCTGTGTGAGTGTGAGTGTGTGTGTGAACACGTGAGACACAGCACTGCGGGGGGCCAAGGTTGGGGGCCTGAGGCTGGCAGGCTTCTGACCCATGCGCGTGGACTGAAGCGTCACCAGGCCCTGCTGGTGGCTGATCTGTCAGCTGGCATTTGGAGGCGGATTTCCCAGCCTGCCCAGCGGGACTGCTGATTACATGGCTTGGGGCACCTTGAAGGATGTCCCAACCTGCGCTGAAATTCTTACTCCTCAGGGACTGGCTCATGCCAGCCGTGCTCAGAGGTCAAAAGGGGAGCACCCTGGCCGGGGCACATGGTGGGCAGAGACCTCCGGGAGGAACCCTGGGTGACCCCCTTTGGGACGCCTGTGCGGCAGGCCCAGGAGACGGGTGCAGTGGGCCTGCTCGGCCCCTCACTGGGCTTCTGGGAGGATGGAATCAGAGGAGATGCGCGTGGATTCCTGAGGGTAAAGCCACTAACCATGTGATCTCTCATCTTTATAGCGACATTGTTCCCTTGATTCGGGTACAGGCTGGGATTCCCAGGGGCAGCTTTTCTCCTAGGCATCTTCTTGGTTTCTGCTGACGCAGATGCGCCCCATGAAAGCCCCACTACTCCCTGTCCCTGGGCCCCAGCCAAACCTGACCCCCCACGGCCTCAAGCACGTCCAGTGCTTTTCCACACTCTTGCCCACGTGGTCCCTTTGACCGCACTGTCCTGCCGCTCACTGAAATCCTATCTGCTCCCAGAGGCTTAGTTCACACATCACCTCCTCCCTGAAGCTTCTTCTGATTTCACCCAAATTAATGTGATGTTCTTCTCCTGGGAAGCCCAGGGCAGGGCCGAGGCTCTGCCCCCAGCGCACCCCTCCAGGGCCTGGCACACAGCAGGTCCCCCATGAGTGTGACGCTGCCTGAGGCTGCCAGATGCCTACCTTGGGGGTGAACATGTGCAGGATGCCGTCGATGGCTCCTCGCAGCAGCAGCCCCCGGACCAGGAAGCAGGCCAGCACCACGTAGGGGAAGAGGGAGCTGAAATACATCACCTGCAGAGAAGACAGGGACCCACCATGGGGCAGGGCCCCCCCGCAGCTGCCGGCTCCCTCCCCGCTCACAGCTGGGGCACACGGGCCTCCTCTGATAGTTGCAGGAAGCAGAGCCCTGGGACCCCTGGGCACAGGGCCAACCCCACCGCATGTCTGGCCTAGAGCCAAGGCAGAAACAGGAGCACGGAAAAGCCGGAGTCAGCAGGCTGGGCCTGGGGCTGCCTTTCTCCTTTCAAGGGCTGGCTGGGCTGGGCCTGAGGCCTCCCTGCTCCTGAGGGCCACCAAGGGGGTAAGGAGCCCTTCACTCCTCCTTCCTCACTTTTTCCACTTCTCAAGCCTGCTCTCCTGCCCCTGGCTCCCCCGCTGAGGATCTCCCCTGTCCTCAGAGCTCCTGTGACAGAAGGCAACCAGAAGGTCACAGTCAGGGCTCCCGAGCAAAAACATCAGAAGAAGGTCCTGCCTCTCGAGGTTGTAAATCGTGTGCCATTTTCTAGCATGTGTGTTTCTTGTGCCTTTGCACATCCCCCGTGCCCAGCACAGAGCCTCACGCTGGGAAGACGCGCACACAGTGTCTGCGGCACTGAAACGGATCCGGAGGGTCCGCTCGGGCCTGGTGGGGTGAAGGTCAGGGGCGTGCACGTCTGCAGAGTGTCCGCGTCTGCAGCCAGACCTCCTGTGTTCTCCTGGTTCTACCCCTTACGAAGCACGTGACCTCGGACTGTTTACTTAGCCTCGGCTTGCCGCCATCTCTTCATCTATAAAATGGTGAAGGGCACGATAACTCCTAACTCAAAGGTCACTGAGGATCAAATGCATCCCTACATGGGTAAGGGGCATAGAGTGTGGGCTATGATTTTGGCCTTCAGAGAGGGAAGGGGAGGGGGCTAAGACCACGCTACTGTTCCAAGGCTTGGCTTCCTTGCTCCTCAAGTCTGGTAAAGAGCCTGGGGCCCCAGGCAGACAGGCAGACAGACAGACAGGGCTCTAACTCCAGCCCTGAGGTGGACGGACTGGCCGCATGATCAGGTGAGGGGCTTCCCGCTCTCTCGGCCACATTCTCCTCTTCTGAAAAACGAGCGGACTGGGCAACAGGATCCCTAACACCCTTTCCAGCCCCGGCAGGCAGTCCACAAACACAGAGCAGAATGAGCCCTTATTTGAAGGAGATCCGACTGTGGGGAGAAGTGGGGGGCTCGGCTGGTCTGCACCCACAGAGACCTGGGTGGAGCCCCCTCCGGCCAGGCGACAATACTGCAGCAGGGACTCTCCATCCCACGCTTGGGGGGCCTGTGTCCCCATCCTGAGTCACCCGGAGGCCAAGCCCAAACACAGGGCCTCGTGTAGGGCAACCCAGATTTCTCAGCCCCCCGCCCTCCCTACTTTTCTCAGACTTCTCAGGTCTCAGTGCCCCTCCCAACTCACCTTCCCCGAGGACTGGATGCCCTTGACAACTGCCAGGCCCACAATGGTCCAGGCCACGAGGAGGCACAGGGTCATCTTCCAGTTGAGGCCACCGCTCTCGGAGATGGAGTTGGAGATGTCCAGGGCCTCTCGGTACCAGAAGTAGGTGGTGGCTGAGCTCTTCTCACACTCGGTCTCCACCACTGCGCCAGCAGCAGAGGTCTCAGCGGCGGGGCTGCAGGACCCCCGCCCCGTGGGCCCCCACCAGGGCAGCAGTGGGCGAGGGAGCAGGGGAGCTTGCCTCAGGGAGGCGCAGGGCCTGCGCCGCATCAGCCGGCATCTGGCAGACCCTCAGGACGCCTGGGCTCCCGACAGCACCAGGGCACATCAACCTCAATTCCCACTGATGCCACGCCCTGCCCACGTCCAGGCAGGAAGGGCCAGGCAGACCTGGCCCCTAGTTCCTAGGGAAGGGCCTGAGCTGGGAGCTGATGACCTGGGTTCCCGTCCCCTGGTTAAATCAGTGGTGTGACCGTGGGAGAGTGGTTTCCAGGCCTCAGTTTACCTGCCTATGAGTGGGATGAATCGCCCAGCTTTTTACGGAAACAGCACACAAATCAAGGCCGTTTCCTGAGAGGAGGGTACGTGAGCAGGGCAGAGTAGTGGGTAACGACCAGAGAAAAGTCGCCATTCCCAGAGTTTTACCTGCACTCACTAGTTCGTTCAATCCCCATAAGACTCTGTGGGGCAGGCTGGCGAGTGGGCATCTGAAGGGGCAATGTGGATCAGAGAGGGCAGGTGTCTCATCCAAGGTGACACAGCACTCAGTGCAGCCCCGAAGCTGTGCCAAAGCCTCCTTGGCTCACTCTGCTCCTTCCCAGGACAGGGCTGGCTGGGGCCCCAAGCCGGTCAGATTCAGGGGGGTCCTGTACTTGCCTGCCACGGTCCCATTCCTGACGACAGGACATTCGCTCCAGGGCAGCGGGTACTGGAAGGACTTGAAGAAGTAGAAGATGCTCCACCCGATGATCACATTATAATACAGCCCAACAAAGAGGCAGACCTGAGAACGAGGGTTCATGGCAGAGGTCATGGGGGTGGCAGGGCACTCCCCCACCCTTCTCCCACCCCACCCAAGGCTCAGTACCAGGCAGACGGCACAAGGCACAGCCTTGGAGGAGGAGGAGGGATGAGACTGGGCGCCGAAGACCCCTCCTAACCCTCCCTTCGCCTGGTATTCCAAGAATCCAGAAAAGAGTGTTTCTGCTATTAAAGTTCTCTCCTTTAAGCAATAAACTCTTAACATGTTAATCTTTTCCAGTGTGAAATTTTTCTAAGATGCTCTCAAGCACCTCCCCATCCTTTGCTGATGCCTCAGAATCACAGCCGCGGAGCTGCCCCGGGACCCTGGGGGCGTGCACAGTGTTAGCCTCCGTGGTCAACTATCCCCAGACTGCGGCGCTTTTCGAGGTTTTCTGGGTGCTTCTTATTGGCTTCCTGCACCCTCTCTTTTCTCAGGACACTCCTCTCCCATAGCCCTGCCTGCGGCCCACCCCTCAGAGGCCGTCAGCCCTTGTGTTTTGGAAGCTCGGTAACTACCTTGGGGAGGACTGACCGAGGGTCCAAGGCGCCATCCTGAAAGCAATGCTTTCTCCTGCACAGACCTGCTGCTGTGACGGCGACAGGCCCCCTCTGCCTTCCGGGGAGACCTGGCCGTCTTATACATCAGTGCCACTGCCAGTCAGCATGACAGCTGAGGGCCCTGGCTTCCTTGATGTCACCTGTGCCCTGGCGTGCAGGGGCAGACACCCTACGGTACCCTTTAGGGGGTACAGAGGGAGAGGGACCCCACCACCTTTACTGGCTGCTTTCAGTCTAAGCAGGGACCCCCAGCAGGGGGCCATACTCGGCTGTGTCCCCCATGCACAGGTGACACTGGCAGAGAGGGGTGGCTGCACAGACCCTCCTCGGCCTCGGCCTCTGCCTGAGCCAGGGATGGGCAGGCCCTGCCGCCACGCCCGATGGAATCCTCTGACCCATCATCTAGAGGCAGGTCCCAGTTTTCAGCCCAGGTGTGAGCGTGGACACCTGTGGGCTCTGTCCCTAAGGGAGGCTTGGTGACGCCACCTACAGCGCTAAGCCAGGCCCTGTGGACGAGCCAAGGGCCCTCGTGACAGTCCCCACCCAGGAGTCTCCCTGCCTCCCACTGTTGCAAAGCCTTACCTGCCCTGGGCAGGTCCCGTCAGGGTTGCCCTCCGGCTCTGCCCGTACACCCAGTTAAAATGCTCTTTGACCAAGGAAAGAGAAAGGGCCTCCCTCGTGGAAGCTGATGGGCTGGTGAGCAGAGAGGGGTATCCAGAGTGGTCTACTTGTCCCCAGAGAGCTCCAGCAGAGGTGTCCCAGGGACGCTCTGTGCATACATCCCTACCTTTCCTCCTCAATGACATACCCGATTTAGATCCTGCTTCAGGCTGTGGAGCCAACTTTCGGTTGAGGAAATCACATGGTCCTGAGTTCCCAGCTGGGAGGAATTCTCACTCAGAGGGCCCCCTTCCCTGCCCTTGGCCCGGCCCAGGACTCTGGTCTGCAAACCCTGTACCCACAAGCCGCCCCTCTGCCTCCCAGGAAGTGCCCAGGGCTAGCCCACGACTCACGATGCAGCTGGAGAAGCCGATGCCCCCCAGGCGGGGGCACACGTAGTGCCACACGCCGATGCTGCCCCGGCGGATCCTCTGGCCCACCGCCAGCTCCAAGAAGAAGAGCGGGATCCCGATGATGATCAGCAGCACCAGGTAGGGCACCAGGTAGGCACCTGCAGGGGAGGAAGGGGTGTCGCAGGGTGTCTGGAGCATAGTGCGGTCCTGCCCACCTCTCTGGTCATCTCGAGCTGTCACTGGTCCTTGGGCTCCTCAGAAACAGTCTGGCTTATACATGTGACCTACACACACTTGACCCTCCTTCCCCTCAACTCCCCTGACCTGGAGCACTAAGGAAGGATACAGCATCAATACCTCCCGCTTACAAGGCTGGACCCAAAGACAGACAGGCAGGTAGGCAGGCAGACACTGTCCTGCCTCTTGGAATCCGCATGTCGAGCCACAGGCCAACAGATACACTCACCTCCTGATCTACTCTGTGGACACCTGCTCACAGCCCCTGCCACCCACGGAGCAGCAGCCCAGAGGGATGGGCCCCCTGGAGGCACCAACCCCAGGTAAAGCCTTCCCCGCATCTGCACCAGATGCTGACGCAGCAGACCAGGCAGCTCCAGTGAAGCGGAGCTCAGCAGCTCTCCAGGGAGAGGGGTCAACCAGCGCGCCCGTGAATCCACAGCTCACTGGGAGGGACGGGAGAGAAATTAGCTGTTCAGGAAGGTATAGCTGGGAGGATCATTAAGGACAGAATGGATACCGCTAAAGATTCCAAATGATAAATGAAACTCTCTGCCCTGGGCCTCGCTGCACACGCAGCCTCGTTTCCAAATGACAGGGCATTTAGCAGGAGAATTAAAACCTCGTTTGGACACGGTCGAGCAGCCCCGTGGAGAGCAGTGCCAATGACTCAGTCCTGTTAGCAGAGCTGCTGGCCCAGCCCTGCCTGTCCGTCAGGTGGCGTCAGGCCAGCGCCGGTCACCAGTTCCCTGCTGGTCACCCCAGACCACACCCTTCGAGCTGAGAGTCTCCAGAAGACCCTCCAGCCACACGGCTCTGCCTCACATGACACAATGTCCCCCATGCTCCCAGCACGTGCTCAGCCTGCCCACAAACCAGGGGATCGGCACCTTCCAGGCATAAGACCCGGCCTCGGCAACCGTCAGGCGGTGGCCCCTCCACACCAGGCCCACCCAGGGAGGGCACGTCAGGACAACAGAGGGCTCAGGTGCTCTCCCGGCAGGTTCTCCAGATTCACGTGGGCAATGTCAGCACATGTACACACATGTCACACAGAACCAGCTCGGCACACACGTGCTGAGGGGCCGAGAGAGCCCATTGGGGAAGGTTTCCGGGGAGGCAGCCCACTGAGCCCACACAACAGCCTCCAGCTCACTAACACACACACACACACAGTCACACGCACACGCAGATTCCACTGCCACTAACGAGCAGCCCCCGGCGTGGCACTGAAGGAGGGAAGGTCTCAGGCCGGGAAGACGGAAGAGAGAACAGCAATCTGCGGGGCAGCGAAGGGACACGGCCACGCTGGCTCTGCATCTCGCCGAGTGGCCTCGGGTGGGCAAGGCGTTTGGGGAGGTAGGTTTCAGGGTGTCGGAGGAGGAGGTTGGCTTCTTCTCTGGATGGGTCTCTCCTCTCCCCAGAGAACCAGGGAAGCCTCCAGGAGAGTACAGTCCAAAGAGGGGCCTGCAGCAAGGACCCGCCACCCGTCACCCACCACCCGCCACCCTCCGCTCAGGCCCGTCCACCTCTGCCAGGCCCCGGGGCGCTGACTTGCTTACGGGTCTCACGCCGGGCAGAGGCCTCGCCCACTGGAGGACTCGGGGAACGCAGGCTGGGTAGGCGGGATTTCTGGGTAATCAGAAGTACTTTTTTGTATTGACCTTCGTTGGAGTCACTGGGAAATGCACCCTCTTCCACCCCAGGAAATACAACTTAGGGATACACCTGGATTCCCTTTGATGTCCCTGAACAGCAGGAGCACTACTCAGGGTTAGGAAATTGAGCAGATGATGGTCTTTTTCTAAAAAGAAAAAGAAAGTGGCCTTGACCTGCCAAGGTGCATGCTGAGTAGGATGAGCTGAGACCCAGAGAGGAAGGGGCGTGATACTGGAGTGAGACTTTCTAGGGGGATTCAAACTCAGGGCCCCTCCTACCTACGAGGCAGTCTGTGTGGGGATCACATGCTTAGGCCTGGGGCCACACTGTCCAGGCTTGAATCCTGACTTTATCACTAGCTGCGTGACCTTGAGCAAGTCATCTAACCTCTCTGTGCCTCAGTTGCGCAGCCTCTAAAATAAGGGCGATAATAACATGGGGTTGCTGGGCGATTCGATGGTTGAACCGTACGAAACCAGTGCTTTGATTGCTTCAAGATGCTCGAATATCAGCATTTTCGTCCATTTCAGCCTAATATCTAGCAAGTACCTAGGACAGTGCCTGGTACCTAGTATGCATTTAATATAACGCCCAGAAGTGTCTCCTTACAATGTGTAAGATCCCGTGTTCAGCATTCTTCACGTCAACCTCCTTTCATCCTCCCAGCTATCCTGTCAGGCAGGAATTACTATTATTCCCATTTTACGGATGAGGAACAGAGAGGCACAGGGAGATGAAGCTACACCACAGATTGCCGACTGCTGGACGGGGACTTGAACCCAGGCTGGCCGGGATCTCAGCAGGTCTCAGCGCTTAGCAATTCCTGGGGAGCCTCACTCTGTCATCCTGAGCTCCTGCCAACAAGGGTTCCAATTCTGCCTAGGGCGGGGGGTGTTCCTTGTCACCCCTCAGCCCAGCCCAATTTGCAGGGCACCCCACAGCCCGCCGGGCTGCCGCTTACCGCCTCCGTTTTTCTGGCACAGGTAGGGGAACCTCCAGATGTTGCCGAGGCCCACGGAGAAGCCGATCTGGGCCAGGATGTACTGCAGCTTGCTGTTCCAGGCCGGCCGGTCCTCGGCGTCCAGCTCCTCCTCCGCCGCCGCCTGCTTGCTGCCTACCCCACCTGCCACATTCAGGATGCTTTGCTTGTAGTCCACAGGCTCCTCCAGGGCCAGCAGGTCGGCCACCGACTCCGTAACATGCTCGTTGCTGTGCTCGCGCTGGGTCACCTTGCTGTTCTTCGGCATCGGTGCCACCGGGGCCACACGGGCCTGCTGCTGGGCACGCTGAGAAGGCGGGACTCAGCTGTCGTCAGCTCCTTCTCATCCGGGACCTGTGAAGCCGGGCGGGCAGGGGAGGGTTAGCAGGCCAGACCGGAGGGGCCGGAGGCTCAGGTGGACGCAGGCAAATCAACTCCTTGTCACGCACTCGGAGCTGGTCGGTGGCATGGAATACTGAGCTGGCCTCCTTCCCCGTTAGGGGTGCCCACTGAGGAGCCCGAGGTCTGCAGACTCAGTTCCCCCCCAGGCCTTAACTGAGCATCAGTAGAGGGCAAATCTAACGAGGCAGAAGAGGCCACAGCAGACACCAAACCCAAACCCAAGGTCGTCCACGGAGCCTCGTTCTCTCTCATCAGAGCAGATCCAAGTGCTCACGACTGATTGTGTGGGGGCCCCACTGCCATCGGCTCCCAGGGTTGAGCAGGTTGTGGCAAGGCCAAGGCCAAGTCCTCTGGTTCTCATGAGCCTAAAGCATCTGGTGGGACCCAGGGAAGCCAGCGGCTGCCTTCTTGAGGGTCCTTCCACTCAAAACGCCACCGTGGGCCCGAGGCACCACCGGGGCTGGTTAGAAATGCAGTGTCAGGATCACTCCAGCCCTGCTCAGCCCTTCTCTGTACTTTTGCAGGATCCCCAGGTGATTGAAAGGAACAGTAACATGGGAGTGGGGGGTGCTATCCTTCTCACCATGGGGCCCCTGGACGCCAGTCCCTGTGGCCCCCTCACCCCCAGGTAGGAGCGCTGGGCAGGCTCAGGGTTCCGACACCAGAGCCCTGGAGGTGTGTGCTCGGTGCCAACAAATCCTGGGTCATCGCTCACCGATGACATTATCTGAGGGCCACCGCAGCCAACAGCCGGCCCTCCATCCTTCAGGGACAGTTCTGAAGCAGACACTGTCTGCTCCCCAGGGGTGGGGGGCCGGGGAGGCGGCACCTTCCCCGCCACTCCTCGTCCATCTTCCCTGCTTCCCTGTACACAAATAAACCCCCCAGCAAGTGAGCCCTTCGAAGGACCCAGCATTCTGCTCTATTTGAAAACACCTCTGCACAGGGGGAGATCAGAGAACTGTAAATTAAACCCACGGATACCTGGCCTGCAGGTGCCCTGCGTCTTTCTGGGGATGTAAACAGCCGGCTCTGTCATTACTTAACTAAGCGACTCACTGCCTCTGGAAGCTGGCTCCTGTCTGTTGTCCTTGGACAGGCCAGGGCACGGCACAGCACAAGCGTGCCCAGCTGCCCTCCCCGCTGGGCTTGACCCAGACCTTTTAGCTGACTCCAGCAAAGACTGCCCTTCGAGGGGACCTGGCCAGCCAGATCCTGCTGAGGAAGCAGGGAGACCCGGCAGATGGGGACGACTATCCACGCTGAATGTGGGGTTAGCCAACCCTCCCAGGCGAGGGCTTGGGCCACATCAGCAGGTGACACTTCCCTGTCCTCTTCATCCAAGGGGGAGGGTGAGTCCTTAGTGACTGCCCCCTGCCACCTCAGGAACAGTCAGGGTCTTGGGCTTTGGAGTGACCAGGACAGAGCCACCTGCCTAGAAGACTCCAGAATTCCCTAGAAGAAATGCAGCTCTCTGTGTTGGGACTCCACAGTGGGTCAGCTGACTGCCCCACTGTGTCCTGGAAGTGTCCCAAGGAGGGATTATGTGTGGGAGGGCCCTCCAGCCCTAGCCTTCCCTGGGCTGCTGCACAGGCAAATGACGCCCCAGGGCCCTAGCACTGGGGAGGCCCCTGTTCTTGCAGGGCTTCCAGGATGAGCCCCTCCCCCGCCCCCAGCAACAGCAGGTCCCCATCCCCAGGGCACTGAAAGGAAGTGAACCTAAGGTGCCTGCAATGGCCCAGGTCTAGCTTTCTCGCCTCTCCTACAGCTGACGTGGAGAATTTTTATTAACACTGGACTGGAGAGAAGGGTCGGGGTCTGCTGGAGACCACGTGGGTGGGGCGCCTCAGCGCAGAGCTCGTCTCCAGCGTTGCGGCTGCAGCGGGATCTGATCAGAGTGACCTGCAGCGCATTAGGTTTGATTTACTGTGCATCCTGCCACAACGGGAGAAAAGCAAGGGGGATTCCGCAAGTCTGCAGAATTTATCTCGCTGCTGACTCCATACACAGCTCTGTGAGTGGCAGCTCTGGTCGCCAACATGGGGGGGGGGACGCTTCACTTTCAACTAGGAGGACTCAAGGACAAAATCAGCAGGCTGTGGTAAAGCCCGAGATACCACGGCAGCATCACAGGAAACGGTGCAACAGCAACGGCTTCTTTCTCCCCAGACGGCACTGGCCTCACCCTGATGGAGCGCCCTGCACTGCAGGGTGGGGCCCAGGGGCCTCCCAGCACCTGGACTGAAAGCTCTGCAGCGGGACACAGCGTGCTAGCTTCACTATGCAGGCTGAGGCTCGGGGCTGGGCCGCGGTCACGGCTGGAACCTTCTGGGCTCAGCGACTGTGCTCAGGTGACAACCCCTGACTCTGACACTTAAAGTGTGAAGGCCCGGGGGACCCTAGCACCAACCTCAGTTTACATGGGAGGCAACAGAGGCCCAGAGAGAGTGCGGCAACAGCCCAAAGGTGCTGGGCCAGACCCTCAGGGACGAGCATGGAGTGAAGGCGGTGGTGGCGAAGACGATGGGGGGAGCGGGGGCTTTGAAGCCAGACAGGCCCGGGTTTGAGCGCTCACATGGCTTTCATTCATTCATTCATCCCCTGAGTGCCTCTGCTCAAATGTCCCCTCCTCAGGGATGCCTTTCCGGACCATAAAATGGCAGCCCTCCAGGCCCCAGCCCTGCAGCCCACCCTGTGCTCTGTCTACAGCAAGTACCACCACTGGCCCTTCGATGCCTTCTTTCTTTGGTGCCTGGCGCTTCTACCAGCATGAATTCCCTGCACTGCTGGACGAGTGCAGGGACCAGACAAGTCCCATGAACCTAGAACAGGGAAGGCAGGCACAGCCCGTGGGTCTCCTCACTCCGGTGCTCTCTCCGTGACGTTATTTTTATTTAAAGATTTTATTTGTTTATCTTTAGAGGGGAAGGGAAGGAGAGAGGGAGAGAAACATCAATGTATAGTAGCCTTTCGTGCGTCCCCTGCTGGGGACTGGCCTGCAGGGAACCGGCCTGCAACCCAGGCATGTGCCCTGACTGGGAATCGAACCGCGATTGTCTGGTTCGCAGGCCAGTGCTCAATCCACTGAGCAACATCAGCCAGGGCTTCTCTGTGACTTTAAAGGGAAGGTGGTGCCAGCAGCAGCCGGAAACAACCCTCCCTCCCCACCCCACCCACCACCTGGAGTCCCCGTGCTGGCGAAGGTCGGCTTTCAGACCAGCACCGGGAATCCACCGTGTACGCTGCCAATGACCCCAAAGCATGACCTGGGACAAGCACCAGGGTCAGCAAAGGACCCAAGAAAGGAGCCAGTCACGATTCAGGTATAAGAAGGTCGATGAGTTTCTGGGCCTGACCCGCCACCAACCAACCACACAATCTGGCAAACTGGCACAGTGGTCCTGATCTTTGGGGCCTCAGTTTCCCTGTGTGTGAAACAGGGTGGTCTGGGTGACATCTGAGGCCCCTTCAGCTCTGCATATATCCAGGGAGTGCCCCCATGCACACGGGAGACAGGGAGGCCTGGCGTGCCCCAGGTTCTAGCTGCAGCAGGCTCTTGAGCCTGTCTATCACACCACCCTCACCCCCTGAGGGCTTGCTGGGGTGTCGGGGACACTTGGACAGCCACCCCAGCTGTACTGGAATTCCCCCCAGGGGTAGGTGGGTGGGTTGAGAGGTTGCTTTTGGGAGCAACACGTGAGGTGCCGTTCCATGGCATTCTCTGAAAGGGACGCGTCCATCACTCCAAGCACAATGCAGAGGGGCTGGAGGGCCAGGAAGCCCGTCACCTAGCAACCATGCGGCTCACAGCTCAGAGGCACACACGTGAGGGAGGCAGGACTCAGCCACCAAACTGTGCATCTTGCTAAAAAGATTAAAAAAACACCGACTAGGAGACAGACAGGGAAAAACATCTATCTGGGGGCGGAGGGCTTCAGGCTGACTTTTCAAGCACAGCTCTCAGCCAGCACCTCAAGTGGTGTGGGGTGTCTGCTCACCCCAGACCAGGCCGAATGGGAGCCCCTCCGCCCCAGGTCGCCAGCATCCTCTGAGCCGCCTCCTGGGGTCGGGGGTCTCTCCCTTGAAAAGATCGTACTCTGTAACTCAAGGGAGCCACTTATTTTCCAAGTCGGACCCCTGGGGAGTTGAGTGGAGAGGCCACGTCTTTGGGAAAGCAGGCAGCCAAGGTGGCCGCAGACCCCGAACCCCATGGGGCGGGCCCAGCTGGCTGCCCTCCGGCCCCTCGGCTCTGGAAAGAGTGCTCTGCGTTTTTAAGTGCAAACCTCTGCATCAGGGAAGCCGGGCAGTGAAGAACCCCCAGGCCCCCAGGCCCTCAAACAAGGTCCCATCGGAGACTAACCCGAGCTAAGAAGGAAGCAAAGCTGGGGCCCTCTCTCCCAGAGAACTTGTCAGCTTCCTGATTTCCACGTGACAAGCCACTCGGGCCCCGACGAACTCTCCTAATTACCTCAGAGCTTTGGGGCTTCCACGGAGCCCAAAACAGGTCACTGTGATCAGAGACACAAATTGTCCTCCAAATTATTTTTAACTGTTTGACTGAAACCTCGGGCAGTCACCTGGAGCACGCTGCTGCGGCAGGCCCTGGCCTTGACCGGGTGGCTGCCGTCCTCGGGTTTCCTCGCCCGGGACACCCAGGGCGGGACACGAGCACCATTCTCGACCTCTCTCTCCATCCTGCATGCTCCATCCGAGTCACTGAGTCCTACTGACGAGTCCAGACTGGCCCTCTTTCCCAGCCCTCATCTCCTGTCCAGACCCTCCCTCTGCTGGACACCGGCAGCAGGCTCCCAGCACCCTTCTCTTCTAGGCCTTCGGAGGCAGCTTCTTGAAATGCCACATGGCCCGGCACCGACCTGCTGTGGCATTTACAGCTCCTCTCGGGGCCCCCACCCGCCCCCCACTCCCGCTGCGTGAACCCTGCCCCGTGCTCT